CACATCAAATCCAATTCATACAAAAAGCCACAAAAATTCTTGTGTTAAACAAAGACGGCGTAAGTCTTGGCTTTGGATCGTATGAAGAGTTACTCGAAGTGGACATCGATTTCATGTCTTTGGTTTGCGATAATCGCTATAATTATGACAATAAAGACTACATTAATAACGAAGAATCCATTGACAACAAAGTGATCCAAAGACAGATTTCTCATAAAAGCGATGTATATATTTGAAGATTGTTTTAATATTATTAATAATTAATAAATAAACTATTTATCAATTAAAGGCTAAACCAGAAGTAAAGGAGCAGTTTATACCCGAAGACCGTTCGGCGAAAGGGTCGGTAGATATGCGGGTGTATTGGTATTACATGAGGGCGGGTGCGGGACCTTTACTCTTGTTGACCATCATATTATCGGCTATAGTTTCGCAGACTATCACCAGTTATAGCGATATATATGTTTCTCAATGGTATTAATATAATATTATTAAAAATTAAACATTAATAGCAATTAAATGTTGTAACAAATAATAGGACTAAAAACGAGACCAACATTAATGCCACGACCGATGGTTTTATTGTGAGCCAAATGAACGGAATTATAATTTATTCATCGATAATAATACTGATATTTGTGGCACTTGTGGTCCGGTGTCTGGCATTCTTCCGGTTCGCAGTGAACGCGTCAACCAATTTACACAATACTATATTCAGTCGCCTAATGACAGCTCCCATTGCTTTCTTTGACATCAATCCTATCGGTATTTGTGTCAATCAATTTCAATAATATTTTACTGTATTAGTGAAATGAAATGATATTTAATTGACATTTATCAATTCAATAGAATAATTATTAATACAAACTTTTAGGCAGAATTTTAAATAGATTTACAAAGGATTTGGTTATTGTTGACGAACCGCTGCCCGGATGTGTCTTTGAGATTAGTTTAGTAAGTATTTTACCCAATTTTAATAGTTTAACTAGTTTAGGGGTGATTCTCAAAGTACGTTCGCACTTTTTAAGAATTCTAGACCCCCCCCCTATGTTCGCACTTGTTCACATGTAGTGACT